AAGAAAGAAAGAAAGAAAGAAAGAAAGAAAGAAAGAAAGAAAGAAAGGACATTCAAGAGGAATCATTATGGCTCTCACCACGTGACCTCTCTGACTCAGGACTTGGTCTCTTCCAATGCCAGCCCCTCTGACTCTTCATTTCTCTGATGACTTCTCTATTGCCCCCTCTCCTCAGCCATCTCCTGGGGTGCCCATCAGCTTCCTTACTTGTGGTATCGCCAAGATGACAATGCCCAAGGGGAGCAGGGCACATTGCAGCTGCAACCCCATGCCTCCCAAGGCCCTCTCCAGGGATGGCACCCAGGCAAGGTGAGATTAGCGCTTTGAGAGCGTTGGTGCAGCTGGAGGAAAGGGTAAATGAGTGGGCATACCCAAAGTCTTGCCACCTGTAGTGTTATTTGGACCAAGCCATGTGAAGGTAGTTCAGAGGCTGTCTGAACTTACTGGTGGAGTCTCAGAAGTGGCCATGAGAGCATCTCCAAATGTCAAGAGGGTAAATTTGAGATGGTCATGGGCTGTTGTGAAGGCTGTCCAGCCAGGGCCCTTCCTTCTCTGCTTAACATTTGCAGGCTCTAGACTTTTCAAAATCCCAATGGAAACAGAGTTTCTGTCATAGAATCCTTAGACTACTTAAACTTGTGCATTGTACAGACCCTATGATCACACTAACCTTCACAGCCATGGGTCTCAACCTGTGGCCGTGACTCTTTGGAGGTCAAAAGACTCTTTCACAGGGGTCTCCTAGGAACATCAGAAAACACAGATATTTACATTACGAGTCATAAAGTAGCAAAATTACAGTTATGAAGTAGCACCAAAAATAAATGTATGCTTGGGGGATCACCACAACATGAAGAACTGTATTACAGGGGTCACATCGTTAAGGCTGAGAACCACTGATCTACAGGCAGAGAATGTTTTTCTTTTAGAAGGGTAACAAAAAGAATGATACTACAGAGACTTTACCTGTTTTCTACCACAAAAGGCCCGGCAATTAATTGCATTTTGTATTTCAGTATGAGACACTTTGGATGCAAATCCCAGACAACTATGTCTTTCCACAGAGGAGACTCTCCCAAGCTTTGACAAAACACATTGGTGGTTCCTAACCATTCTAAGGTTAAAGAACAGATAGCATTCTTCAAGGCCCAGCTGATCTCTCTGCCAAAAGGTCAATCCATGGATTGATCAAACAAAAAGAGGCAAACCCATGAAGAAAAGTACTAACCAACACTAAAAAAAAGGGGGGGAGGACTGTCTTCATATGTGACAAATTCTTAGACAAGAAACAGGGAAAGTGAGTATGAATATTTTTAAAAGGCAGACTTGTAAATGTTTGTACTGAAAACAGACAAGAATGGAAAGATAAACCAGTAAGATGCCAGCCACCATGGTAGAAAGGATGGGAGGGGTACAAGTGAAAGGGGTAAAGGAAAGAGCTGAGGGCTGGAGATGCGGCTCAGTTGTAAAAGGCTAAGCTCATAAGAAGGCTTAATTTGAATACATACTGTTTTGTACATTTGACATTGGGACCAAGTAAAATGCTTTCTGTAAATAAAATATCAAATTAAATTAGAAAGGAACCCCTAGAATAGAAGAAGGAGAAAGGATGGAGAGAGGGAGGGAGGAAGGGAGGGAGGAATGGAAGGAAGGAAGGGGGAAGGAAGGAAGGAAGGAAGGAAGGAAGGAAGGAAGGAAGGAAGGAAGGAAGGAAAGAAAGAAGAAAGGAAAGAAGGAAGGAAGAGAGGGAGGGAGATAACCGTGCTTGCATCTGGCTGGTGGAAGAAGCTCACAGGAACTGCTCTGAACACAGAAATGTGACTATAGAACATGTGGGCTATAACCTGCACACAAAAGACCTGCGAATGTGAACACATAAGACGCTCTTAAGCCACTTCCGGCAACCATTTGACTGGTAGAATTGCTATTGTAGTTTTGAGACTGCAATGTGAAACCGAGCAAAAAAGAGGTTTTTATAAAATTCTTATTCCAGAATTCCTGGTGTCTGACAAATGTGGTACTGCCCACACACACACCAAGTTTCAAGTGTGTATGGTGTGTGTGTGTGGTGCGGTGTGTGTATGGTGTGTGTGTGTGGTGTATGCATGTGTGTATGTGGTGTGTGTATATGTGTGTGTGGTGCGGTGTGTGTTTGGGGTGTGTGTGTATGGGGTGTGTATTGTGTACATGTGTGTGTGGTGTGGTGTATGTATGGTGTGTGTGTGTGTATGGGGTGTGTATTGTGTATATGTGTGTGTGTGTGTATGGGGTGTGTATTGTGTATA